TTTTTTTTTAGAAAGAACTGTGATTTATCACAATTTAATGTTAGAAAGTTACTATTAAACCACATAATTGTTTCGTTCAGAACTAATTTGATATTATTTTTAAATTCTTCAGGATTCGTGTTTGATATGATAATACTTGTATCATCAGCAAATAATATTGGATTACCTGTTTTCTTAACGGATAATGGGAAATCAATTATGTAAATAAGGAACGATAAAGGCCCCAGTATAGAGCCTTGTGGAACTCCATATTTAACTACTTCCCATTTTGAAGATACTTTATTAAGTTCGATAGCTTTCATTGATACTTTCTGATATCTAATTTGTAAGTATGATCTCATTAACTTATTTAACATGCCCGAGATTCCATAGAATTCCATTTTTGCCAGGAGTATGTTGTGGTTAACACAATCAAACGCCTTTTGTAGGTCACAGAATAAACCACCAACATCATTCTTTTTGTCTAAAGAAGACAATATATTATTTAAAAGAATGTGTGTTGCCATTTCAGTAGATGATTTTCTGTGCATCCAAATTGTTCAGTGACCAATATATTGTGCTTATTTATATGGAAGTATAATCTTTTATAAATGATTTTTTCGATAATTTTGGAAAAAGTTGGGAGGAGCGAGATAGGCCTGTAATTCATAAATTCTGATTTATCACCCTTCTTGTATAATGGCTTAACTTCTGAGAATTTCAATCTATCAGGAAATATACCTGTTTGTAGGATCTTGCTATATATGTATGTTAAGGGTGATAAGACATACGGAGCACTAAATTTTAGAATTCTTAATCATATCCATGAGAGTTCTTAGGTTTTAGTGAAAATATTATTTTTTTCAGTGATTGAGATTAGCTTGATCTAAGGGACCCAACTGTATAGGATACATAAGAACCCTCCTTACCTTTTAATTTTTTTCCCATTTTTTCCCCTTTTTTACCTCCATTTTACTTACCTGAGGACGGTAGCAGATCCAGCTTCCGAAACGTCGTGGTTCAACTGACTGGGACGATGGATACAGTCCAGAATTTTAGTTTTAATATTATTTTTTTCAATTTCATGAGTATTCTTATTACTAAGTTTCATAGATTGAAATGAATGATAAAATTTCTGATGTAAATAAGATAAAGAATCTTTATTATTAACAGCGGCTTTCCCCAAGGAGTTTTTGATACGTAATATTTCGGCTACAGATGAGAAGTAATTGTTAAACGCATTTGCTATAGCTAGGGAGTTACCAGATAATTGTTTTTTAAGTTCATTGTAGTTACATTCTCATTAGGCCCTTTATTATTAGTAATGGTTTTTACTATATTCCAAGTAGTTCTAATCTTACTGTTAGATTTTAATAAAAGTTTATTATAATAGTATTTTCTTGCTGTCATAATAACCCTGGCTAAGATTCAACAATATTTCTTAAGTGTTCTTTGTTATTAGGCTCATTGCTGTTTCTGTAAGCTACATAGATAAAGTTTTCTTTCATTAGCGCATGATGTCCTAATATCGGAAGTTAGCCATGGTTTTAGATTATATGAATATAAGGATTTTACCACAAGAAAGCATGTGTAGAAAGATTCTAAGAAATGTGTTCAAAAAATTATTAAAAGCCATATTCACAGTAGTTTCAGAAAAAACATCTTCCAAATTTTCATAGCTTAACAAAAGTGTAAATTGACCTATTGAGTATTGTGCCCAGGGTCATACTTGAGATTTCAGGACAGAGTGGCAGGCACAAAGGGATTAACATAACCACTTTGTGTCTTCAGGCTACATAAAGCTATTTGATAACTCAGTTCATGATTTCGTACGACATCCGTATTCATGTAGAAAGTTCGGTAATATGGTCTTCGGCACTGCATTTCATCGGAAAATTGTTCATACGTGAGAGAGATCGAGAGGTCCCGGGTTCGATTCCAGGTGCTACCAGAATTTCTGAGAAGTAGTGGGTCTGGAACGGGGTCCACTCAGCCTTGTTACGATAAGTGAGGAGCTATTTCAGAGAAATAGCGGCTCCAGTCTAGAAAACCGAGGTTAACGGCCGTGGGGATTCGTTGCGCTGACCACGTGACACCATCTATCCGCCGAAGTTGGCACTAACTTCACAGACAAGCGGTGGTCGCTCGGTTGGTATAGTTCGCTGGAAGACTATAGGCCACGGAGTAGAATAATAGTGCTACCCATAAACCATCGCCAAGACGGGAGTCAGTAAGTTGAGATCTATTCATTGTTGAAAACAGAGATTTGCAGAGATAAGTGGAACGAAAATATGATTTTTTCTTGTATTCCGCACTTTTTAAAGAAGGAAATTTTCTCGGTCAACCTGAATTCAGAAGTTCTTATGTGTTGCGTCGGATAAGAGAAGGTAATATAGTTAAATTTGAAAAGTGCGTTTATTTTGTTGATTTTCCCCGCGAGCTATTTTAATAAATGGCTCGGAAAAAATAAAAGAGCAGTATTTATCGAAACTAAAATCTATCATTAAACTATGATATCGTTAATTTATTATTGTTACCTCTGTCTGGGAAGTTCTTGATCCATTAAAAATAAAAGGTCCTCGCAGTACCATAAATTTGGCGTATAATTATTTGTTCCATTGCCAGACTTCTGAGAACCCCTAACTTTCTTGAGCTCTTTCCGAAAACAGCTTCGTAGTGAATTTATTTCAGAATCTCTTGAGACTCTTTATCTCTTTGCGTCTATGAATATTATAGCTATTATAGCTGATGTACTGTTTCGTTATTCTCTCGTGTTATCTCCAGAAGTCCGGAATGTGGCGAATGCTAAACGATCCTAATCGATCCTAATTATCTGATTAGTATTTTATCTGTGGACGCTGTTTATACTGTGTAGTTTGGTTCTTCTTCTTATTCTTCTTCTTCTTCTCATCCCCCCCCCTTTTTTTTTAGTCATACAACTGTGAATGGCGGGAAGTTGTGATGTGAGGTTATGGGGATAAATTAATGTTTTTGGTTTGCTATGTTTCTACCGGCTGAACATGTTTGTGTTCGTTGTAAGGGACCATTTCCATTTGAAAATTGATGTAACGGTATAACGGTGTGACATATTTATACACTTTATTTTCGTTTTGGCATTTTATGATTTTTTAAACGCGGAAGATGGAAGAACAAAGTAAGTATGATTGTATTCCCAAACATTTAGAAATTATGTTAGTGTGAAATATTATTCTAGATCATCGTATAACAGACGCTCGCGGACACACAAGTGCATTGCACCCTGCGCTGGATTTTTATTTTCATATTTTGTTTGGTTTGGTTTCTGGTAGCAGCGAAGGTTACATGCCAGCGTATTTGGTTTTGATCAGGTTTGTGATGGCCAAGACTTACACGTTTAGTTACGGATTCTTGATCCAGCTCTGGTTACTGGCATTTATTAATCCCATTTATATTGCTTTATTTTGTCATTTTAGACTGTAGGTTCGAATACGTGAGAATACTGTAAAGTAAGAACTGGGGTAACTTCCCTTTTGTTATTCTCATATGAGAGTCGTCTTAGTAAACGAAAGCGTTGGAAGAATTTACCGTAAAAGGAGTTATAAAGATTAAATCCTTCGAAGATGTGACAGAGTTAATGTAATGAGTCAGTGAGTAAGGGCTTTAAGGCCCTTAAGCATCAAAGGTTATGCCTGCTAAGTTGAGTAGTTGAGAACAATATTACAGCTACAAAATTACGGCCACGACGAAATTAAGTTTCCAGTTAGGGCAAGGGAACGCCAGCTACTGTCCCTTGTAAATTTTTTTATTTCTTCTGGTCTGCTGCCCAAAGACATAAAGATTGAAATATACAGAACTGAAGTGTTATCTTTTGTTTTTACTGCGTGTGAAACTGGGTCTTTCAAATTAAGGGAAGGACATAGATTGAAGGTGTCTTAGAAGAGGATGCTGAGGAGGATGTTTAGATCTAAGACAGAGTGACAGGAAGCTGAAGAAAATTGTATAGTAAGGATCTTTGTAATTTACACTCATCACATACTATTAATGGGATGATGAAACTAAGGAATCAGTTATGTTATATTGTCTAGAGAATGTGGGAGCCTTGATGTCTCACATCCCTATGGGTGTCCATGGTCTGTTACAGGGGTACCTTTACCTTTTTTTATGTTATATGTATGGTAGAAATGAGGAATACATCATTTTTATAGGAAAACGCTGAAGGTAAGAGCCACTTATAAAGCCTAGACATAGATGGAAGTATAATATTAAAATAAGTTCTTAAAGAAATAAGGTGGGAAGTTGTTTAGTGGATTCATTTGGCTTGGGATATGGAGCAATGTGGGTCTTTTGAAAAGGCAATGAATCTCTGGATTCTATAACAGGTGGGGAATTTGTTGAGTAGGTGATGTGATGTTCTCAAGTAGAATTCTGCTCCATGGAGGCAGATGTAATGAAAGTAAATCTAGTCCTTGTGTGAAAATGTTCAGGAGCAAGTGAGCCAGTACCATAGATTAGAAGGTGGGGTAGGAGTTGAGGAAGGTGTCAATTGACTGACAGCTTGAAGTTTGCATGCAAAAATATTGCCTCTGTATGTGCCATACTTCTTCACTGTTGACTATGTAAGTTAAATTCATACATGTAAAATAAATTATTCCCAAATTTCACATGATTTCCTTCATAAATGCATAAACAGCAGGTATTGCAGTTCCCTAGAAACACTCTTCATTTCACTGACGCTCCCTCACACAAGTTCACTTGCCCCGCAATCACTATCACTCCTATTTCCATTGAATCACTATTTTTGTTATATTCTTCTCAGTTGTGCAGCCCAATTTATTATGTGTGAAATAGCCTTCTTCCATATTAGCTTCTGTACATAGTGTTCCTGGCCCTACTTCTGTCCTTAAGTTCTTTTCAGTTCACTTCTGTTGAACTGAAATGGCAGTTGTGTGGTATGAGCGTAAAGACATTAGACACTTTTACCCAAACTGTTTCATCAGTTATATATAATCAGAGATAAAGTTTGTTCATTTTATGAATTCATAAAATTCTTCTGTTGAGAGACCATTTCTGAATATGATGTTACTGCATTGAAACCATGCAGCCATTTCACATTTCATGTATGCCATTGTAAAGCACTCTTTTGTTTTGACTGAATATTAGGTTAAATCAATTGCAGTAATAGCCTCCTTTAGACAATTCAGGATTACTTTCTCAACAAAAATATTTCCTAAATTTCTCACTGTCCATTTGATTGTGAAAACTGCCTTTTGACTTGGATTAGAACGGTAACAAGCTGTTTGTTGCAAACCCCTCCTCATTTCCAGTGTGAGCTAAATTGACTGCCCACCTTTTCCTGCAGGAACGTCTGGCGTGGTATTGGAGAGTCAGTTACAGCCTTTCACTCATGACATGTTTGCATTGATCTGTGTCTTATCCATGTGCACAATAGCATTTGCTTCCCTCAGTTGCTGAATTCTCCTTAAACATTTCTAGTACAGGGTTTTGATTTCAGATTTTTCCATGAGTAATCTTCGACGTCAAGACAATAATGTTTGAACCCTAAGCCTTTCAGAAATTTTCTCAATGAAAAATTTTGAGTCACAGAACTTCCCAGATACAGGGTAAAATTTTCCTTAAAGTCACAACACTTTTAGGGCCATACAGTTCTCCTACAAGTCTTAAGACCCCTAAAGCTCAATTATTTGACAAATGATTTTCCTTTCTTTCTTTCTTTCTTTCTCAGAAGTCAAAACCTTTTCATTTTTCTCTTTTTTTAGTTGCAACACTGGACATAGTTTTTGTAATAACACAGACTGCATCTTCTGTACATTGTGTAATTTTTAACACAAAGTGAGTTTTTCTCCCATTCATAATAATCCTATACATTTATTTTAACTATCTGCTTTGATTTTTCACTGTTTTTCTATTCTCATCCATTGCCATGTTTGTTTTCTTGCTTTCCAATGTAAACATGCTTTATAAGGATTCTAGCTAAACTACACTGAGTCTCTGTCTTTTAAATGAACTGTAACACATTGCCTTAAGCTGGCAATGGCTTCTACCTAAACACTAAACAGTTACACTTCTAAGGAAAATAGGCCAGAAGGAACAGCATTACAGCTTTGAAGCTGAACTCTGTTTTTTGTCACTTCCTATCACATGTTATTTGAACGGTAAAAGGGTGCAGGAACTGCCCCTGCTATAGTAATTTTTGCTCATTGAAACGTTTAAAAAAATTGTTGGTCAATGACATGTGTTAGCAGCGTGGCTTGTGTAATGTAGTACTGTACAACTACTTGCAGAATACATTCGAAGAAAGACGAAGGCAAAGAGTGAAGGAAATCTTGAACAGCTGTCACATGCCTGTAATAAACTGGGGGAGCTACACTTCAAACACAGTTCTTATGAAGATGCTTTGAAAGAGTATAAGGTAGGCAAGAAGGATATGTGAGTAAGAGAAGTTACTTTATGACCTTGGAAATCTGCTTGTCGCTCTAGTTACAAAGAAATTGGTTTACTGTAGAGGTTTTATACTGTGTTTATTTGAGGAGAATATTATTTCCTACACTACGGGAGTTTTCTTCTTCTCCAGCCAGCTCTCCTCCTTTTTCTATCTTCTTCTCACCCTTTGTTTTCTTCCACTTCTAGCATCATTTCTATAATCTGCTCTTCATACTAATGTTCACCAATTTCTCCTTGCCATCTTATTATAGTTATCCCATAAGAAGCATGTTTCCTTTAAACTGTAGTTGCAATTCCCTTTTCAGTATCTTTATTCTCTTTTTATGTGGCCAGGACATTGTGGTTGTTTCTCTTTGAGCACTTTAACAAATTTCTAATCCTAGCTTCTCAAAAATGTTCAATTCTATCCCTTCTTGTTCTTGCCTCAGTACTCTCAAAACCTTTATATCCATTGCTTTAATTTTGTTCTTGTTTCTGTTTTAAGGTTCCATGTTTCTTCATTATATATTCATACCAGTTTAACCTTGTAAGGACGAATGTCTGATATATTGACTTTGAGAGCCCTTTTGGTGCCATGCATGAGTCCAGGCAAAGCAAGTCATTTCACTCTGCAAATTTTTATGGGTATCATTATATAAACAATTTGTGCATCAAATTTATCTTCCTTTGTAAACAGCAATTCTAATCAATTGCAACAATTTGCTGATTCTTTGAACCCACGCAGCAGAAATATTCTTCTTGTTCCTTCTCCAATGTCTATAACAGTAAGATTGCATTTCAGACTGGGGAAGCAATATATGTGTGAAGGGAAGTGAAGTAATCCTTGTGATCAGAACTACATCATAGCATTTGTTGGCAGATTGCTACCAGTTGTTATGTCCCCTTTTCATATATGTATGAAGCAGTACTATGAAATTAGCAGAAAAAGCCAAGAGATGGTGTTACAATGTGGTCATTCTCTGTCAAACTAACACAGCAATTGGCATGACCACCTTGGATTTCAATGAAATTGTATGAGCCTACAAGGTCTGAGTATGTGACAAATGGAAGTTTTTCTTTTCCTGTGACAGTTAATTTCTAAGTTAGTGCATGAAAATTATGAGTTTTCCTTAACTTTTAATGCACTTTAATTCACAAAAGTGTTTATAACTTTGGTCATAATTAAGAAAGAGAACTCGTTCTTGTACCAGTTGAAGCCCTTAAGTGGGGCTTTCTTGTGGTATGCAACTTGTAATATTTTAGGGAGTGTTAACATTTTGTCTTTGGCCTTAATTTATGGTGGAAGAAACATTTAGCCAGATTTATGCAGGTTTCTTCCAAAATATATTTTGATTCCGTAAGTAAATTTTTTGAAAATTCATTATGGGACATAAATGGATGGATTGAATACATGTTTATTTATCATTACAGGTTCCATACATGTTGTTGTTGCTCACTTAGGTTAAAGATTACATTCAGCTTCATAGGTAATACAACATTAATAAATAAGGCAAAAAAAGAGAAAATATTGCAGACTTATTCAAGAAAATATTAAATTAGTTCTGCAATTAAGTGAGGAATATTATTGTATGAGTAGCTCTTTGCAGTGTGTGAAGCCTGGTTTGTAGTTTCTCAGTAGTGCAGTGGGATGGATTCCCTTACTCTGATTATAAATGTGCAACCTGTTGCAGTGTTTGTATCCCCTTTTGAGCTGGAATTCTGAAAATATTTCATGGTGAAGGATACTTTAAAAATTTACTGGGATCAGATTGATGCAAAAATGTTAGTTGCACTTTACTAGCCTCTGTTCTGTCATACTTGGAAGATAAATATCCTCTAATACCTTCCACTTAATACTCTTCATTTTGCAAGTGTACTGTACATATGGTGTTGAACACATTTTCTTCTGAAAACACTTTTGTCTCAACGTGGTTTTTTTGAGGCAGTAATGACGCAGTGTTATGTGAGCTCCTGGAAGTGTTTGAGCTTTCCTGAACCTCTCTTTATCCCATCATATGCATCCTCATCATGTGACACTACAATGAAGTGCCACTTGACATCCAATCAGAAACTATCTTTGTGAGAGTAGAGGTTGATGACTCAGACCTGAGAAAGACTGCGCTGGCAAGGGCCAGCAGCATATACAAAAGACAGGCCCATCCTCTCATCATAGAGGGCACCCTACAGAAACAAAACCGTAACTGTCAAACAGTAATAAATATCATAAATAACGTAAGGGTGATTCTCACTGGCAAGCCTGAGGGCGACTTGGACGCTGCACGCCGCTGTGCAGACCGCATCATCGAGGCTGCATCCCAGTCAGCGCTCACAAGCATCACGCCACTCCCCGACAACAATACACTTATGCAGTGCATCAAGGACCTCTCTTGCCAGGTGGCAGCACTCAGCACCAAGGTGGCCCATCTTCTCTCCNCCCCCCCCCCCCATCCCAGCTTCAGGAACCACCTCTCGGGCAGCAGATCCCCTTCCCGATATAATGCTACACCCACCCTCTCCTGGTACCATCACCGCTACAGAGCCTGGGCACAAAAGTGTACGCAGCTCTGCTCCTGCCGTCAACAAGAAAAACTACCACAGCGGATATCAATGGTGGCACATATCCCGGTCTCTTGAGGAACAAATGGCATCTACGGTCTTTCCTTGACCAACTTTGGAGGTACGGAATCCTCATCAACCCCGCGAAAGGAATCATCTGAGCATCCAAGATCACCTTCCTCAGTTACAAAGCCTCTGCCAAGGGTTCCCAGCCACTGGGAGAACGAATAAACTGTCTATATAACTGCCAACCTCCCAAACCCGCCAGTCAGCTCTTCCGTTTCCTGAGCATTCTGAACTACTACAGGCAATTTCTGCCCCACGCAGTAGCAAACCAGGCACCACCTCATGACATCCTCTCCAGACCCAAAGTCAAGAGTTTCCACCCCACCACTTGGACACCGGAGCTACACAAGGCCTTCAAAAAGTGCAAGGCGAGTTTGTTACATGTCACTCTACTTGCACACCTGACACATTCATGCCACTTGCACTCATCACAGACGTTTCCACGTCCACCATGGGTGCCGTGCTGCAGCAACACGCCAAGAACGCCTGGCAGCCCCTCACCTACTCCAAGGAAATCAACCCTGAGGTGAAACTAAGAGCTGCACCACCTTCACCTTCAACCGCGTAGCCAACATAGCACCGACCATGGCACCACATTCCGCACCACCACCGCCCATTGCACCAACTACACGCTCCGGACACATCATACGTTTCACTCCTCACTTCAACAGCCTAGAACCATCTCCATGGGGGGGGGGGTTGTTTTGTGTCAACTGCCCACATTCAAGCAAACGTTACAGTGATAATGCAAGTATCATTGCTTAGCAACAGTGAGTAAACAGTAAACAACTATTGCTAGGCAAAGGCTACGACAATATGGACAGTGACATGTTTTCTATGCGGCCCGACGCAATGATGTATAAGAAGAGAAGTGTGGGTGTTGCAAACAGTAGTATTGTTTTCTGCTATACTATTAGTCTTCAGTTCTTCAAACCAAAGTGTGTCTGTATACTGTGCACCTATAATAAATATTTACAGAAGAATTCAACAGGTGATTGTCTCTTTATACATCAACATCCCACAACCCTTACAGTGAGACAATTAATTGAATAATAGTGGCAATTTGTCAGGGGTATAAAAATATTTTGTCAAGCTTAAGAAGTTTAAAATTTCCAGAATGTCTTGCAGAGAAAGTGAAACTAATGTAAGTGATTATACAGAGCTCATTAAAACAAATCCTGTCACTAGTCTAGTTCAGCCATTTCAGTGGTATTCCCAGAACTTTTCCATACTCCACTTTCTCTTCCTTCACAGTATATCCCAAAAATTTTTGGGTCCAATGCAGTGCTGTCCTAATTATATCTTGATATTTCCATGGGCTCTGTGACAGCTGTGTTATGTAGTTTGTACATTTCTCAGAATATTTATCACCATATAGAGTTATTTGCTGTGATTTTCTGGATCAGTAATAATGTATCTCATTTTTTAAAGAATTCCCATTGAGTTTTAATGTCACTGCTGAAGGGGTTATTGCCATGATGGTGGAATCTGCTCATAAATTTAGTGGAGCAAACAAAAGATTAAACATGAAAGCATTAATATATATTGACATTGCTTGTCCTGTCTTTGCTTTCTTGTAGGCCCAGCCTCATTATCTTATCAACTTTACCTTATCTTATTGCAGGAAGAGGCGACAGTGTATGAAACCCTGGGGAGCGTTATCAGGCTTGCAGTGGCACACCGGATGATTGGGGAGGTGTACACCAGCATGGGAAAGTATGACAAAGCTTTGAAACACCAGCTGAAACACTTGGGTACGACATTTGAATTCTGACTGCGGCACTAGGGATTTCCTAACCCCCTACTATTCAGTTTGTGTGTACTATCATCACCACCACTGCCACCTCCTCCTTCTCCCCCTCCTCCCTCCCTCTTGGTGGTTGCTGCAGTCCCTGATGAACCTTGGCCTATGTTTTACAGTTTCTTAATCATACAGAAAATTAGTAGGACTCCTTGGGAAAGGGATCAGCCCATTGCGAGGTTTCTACCTACACAGGATAACACAAAGAATAAATGCAGGCAGACATCTATACCTCATGTGGGATTCAAAGCCACAGCCACTATGTCACGCGACAAATAACTTCACGCCATCTTGGATCTAGCGAATTTATTCCACTTGCTCTTACATTTACACAGCTTACAATTTCACAAGTACTGCCATCTGCAGTATCACGATTACTTCCACTGCTCTCGGCGACTGCTAGACTTCAACTGCTCTTGGCGACTTCGTGATCCACACTGTGTCACTCCTAATCACACACTCTTGCTCACCTACTGCTCAGCCGGCTTTTTATACCGTTCCCTGTTGCCTCATGTTAACAGTGGTCTCCCCTGTTACGTCACCGCGGCGGGGGGTGGAGTGTTTCCTGGCCTGTTACCATAGCAGCAGCAGTGGCTCCGATGCTGTTACGTGACCACTGGAGGGGCAGGGGTGTCCTGCATAGTGCAAATAAGTCACGATATATTGTCACGTGATTAACTATTGATGGGGTATGGATTGGTAATCGGATTTATTGGACACTTGCTTGCAAAACTATGACAGTTTTACAGTTACACATTTAAAAAATCGCTGTAACTACAGCACACGTAAAGTTTTCTCAGTCTTTACTAGCCACTGCTTGGTAGCTGCCTCCAATGGCGGACATTCCCCTTTCTGTGGCCTCAGCTACCAGCTTCTCACATCCCACATCTGCAACAGTCAATCAGCTCAGTTGATTCAGCAACTACTAGTCCTCGTTATATAGCCCTGCCACAGACTGCACAGAAAATGTCTTTTCCATTATTGCATGTTCTCTCATTGCCAGGGAAATGTGTCCACAGAGCTGTTTCTTAGCAGTGACTGTTGTACTGTCACCTGTTTACACAGCTGTTACTTGGCAGTGGGTGTACATGTCACAGTATATATATCATAACATATATAGCTAGGGAACAGCACAATAAACCCCTTCTTGCTTAAGCGTGTGGCAACAGTACACGTTCATTGTTAGGTAGCGACTCATGAAACACATTTCCACATAGGCAGTGATGTTACACAACAATTGAGGGGCTGTGTTTTCTGTGTTTTGTCTGTGCCAAAGTTATATACTAGACAACGAAGGTTGTTTGTAGTAGTAGAAGCTACAAGGCAGTTGAGACTACCTCTCATTCGCCCAGCCCTTAGGCAGTTGCTATACTGACTGCACTATTCCAGCTCCCAGGGAAATGTCACATATAACATTTAAATTAAATTAAAGTTCAGTTTCTTGTTTGATTTGCTTAATTTCTTGACAGTTGGGAGTAATCAGTACAACTGACTCAACTTTAAACATGTTAATTGATCAGTTCTCCAGTTTTAAATCTTATTATCCGCATCAGTGTGTTTGTATATTTTGTGAAGATTTTACAGTACAGCGATCATTGACTTTTCTAGGACAGGAATTTGTAGTTTTATTATTGTAGCATGGTCATTTATTTCACACAGCTGTTGTGTCACTGCTTGTAGCCACTTATGATCTTGGTGTCAGTTTATCTTTGCCCACACAGCTGTGCCTTCTCCACGAGTTCTGTACTTAACCAATTTGGGATTCACATTACACTCTTCATCTTGTCTGGTTCTCTGCACATGTCTGCAGTCCTCTGCTTGTAAGCTTAGAATGGGACTTACTCACTCAGACTCTTCTGGCTACATTTATGGACATGGTCACACTTCAGGAAGGTTGCCGACAGCTCTTGGGTGGCTCCTGTCTCATCTGTTGATAGTTCTAGGGCGCTGAAGGAGTGGGGTCTTCATCTTCCATCAAACAAGAGTAGTGCATAGCTAGGCAATGCACTCCACCACAACTCTTTATTTTATGTCCCTAGTTGTACTAGTGATATTAAAACTAATATTTTTGCCTGTGTTGGACACACTTCTGCATTTCTCTAACAAATCTAAATTTTGTGCAGGTTAGGTTGGGTTAGACTGCTTTAAGTTGATTTAATAATGTGCTTGTGCTGGGTATTGTGAGATGTATTTGTTGGTGGAAGATGCATAGCTGCATACTTAAAAAGGTTAAAGTGTGTAGACAGTGTACTATAAAGTTATTTGGCATTTTCAAATGAGTATTGAAAGATATTTTTGTATTCCAGAATTAGCAAGATCAGAGGCCAGTCAGATAGAAGAACAGAGAGCACTTGCAACTATTGGCCGCACGTACTTCTGTCAGGCAGAGAGCATTGTGAATGATGATGAATTACACCAGTCTGCGCTGACAAATGCTAAGAATGCCTATATGAAAAGTTTAGATCTGTGTGAGAGGTAAATTGGAGAAAATACCGTATTTACGCATGTATAGGCCGCACATTTTTTGCCAAAAATTCAAGAGGAAAACTGGGGTGCGGCTTATATTCGAAATATTTGAAATCACACTTCATTTAAAAAAATTATATTCATAATTAGTAATACAGGGTGTAATACTCCTGAAATAATATTCCAAGAAAATTATTTTTTCTAGAATTTCTGTCTGAAAATTGTGCTGCGGCCTATACATGCGTAAATATGGTATGTGCCATTTTTAACAATGCTTTATTAATTGTGTAGGTAAGATAGAGTTGGGGACTATGCCATGAAGTCATATGCGGGAGTGGGTAGTCTTCACCTCGGCACTATTTGGAGGCAAATGGTCAGCTTCATGCCTCGGCCTCTTTTCCCTTGAGGAAATGCCCCTGGTGTCTTTTGGATAGAAGGCTGGGTGGGCCCCAGAACTGCTGTGGATGACATGGAGAGTAGAAAATTCTTGCCTCTACTGGAACTAAACTCCGACCCTTGGACCATCCACCCTGTAACCAGTCACTATACTGACCACATTATCCCAGCTTGAATTTTATGGGTTATTGTGACGCGTTATCTTATGTCCATTGCCGCGACAACTGCTCCAATTGCAATGGACACTTCCATGGTAACGAATACGTGGAAATTGGGGAGTTAACGCAGCGACAAATCGTAGCAACGAATTGTCGTTGAGTAACAACGGATGAGACGAAACATGTTACCAGTGAATTCTATAAGGAGCGTTTCTGAAACAACGGATTGCCGAGCACATGAGATCGAAGCTTGTTGAGGGGTGTCCTCTATTGAGTCCATGTGTGCCTTATATAAAGGGCCTGGCCTCAAGCAGAAGTTGAGTATTAGAGTATTGGGCCAGAAGTCAAGTGATACTGCAAGCGATAATTATAAGGTGTGTAAGAGTGAGTGTCCAATAAAGATTCGCTAAATCCGAGACCCACGTGAAGTTATTTGTCACGTGACACCCAACACGTGACAACTGTTGTCAGAGGTTGGATCAGTTTGGATTCTGAGACGAATTTGGAAGAATTATTAGACTTCTGTTTTGTGTGTGGGGGTGGGAAGGTTACAGTTCTTTCAGTGTCTGCACTATGTAGTGTGAATATATTGATTTTGAAGTCATAATGATTGTTGGTAAATTTTGAAGGGTGTGACAGGAAGCAGTTAAGGCAAACATTGCATAGATGAACTGATGAAAACTTTGGAAGACATAATTCAAGACAGTAGGGTAGATGAGAAACTCATCAGAGGAGTAGAAGTAGAATGTAAAATTTGCTCTTGGTTTATTTAGAGATGCTTTCTATAGCATAAGTTATGTAGCTTGGAATAATTGGGTGATGGGTGTACAGTGAATTCTACAGAATGGGAAGAAAGGGGTTGTAGCCTAATTTTGAGTACTATCTCGGCACTTCTTTGGGACTTAGGGATTTGTAAAACCCAAGAAGAACTTCATTTGAAATGGACAGTCTCTTGGCTAAGACCACACAGACATGAAGCAAGATTTGTACTCTCATGACCACGATGTTCACTATAATATACAATCATGAGGGTAATTTGAGAAGTATGGAAAATGTGGCATGCTCTGTCCATGGGTAAATAAACCTGCACCTTCCTCTCTACCAGATCTGTGAAGAATATTTTTTCTTTGTAAAATATGGACCCTCATAACCTTGCAACAAATTCATATTAATATGTAACAGGAATGGGGTCCATAACAACTACATTCAGTACAAAGTACCGCTTACAAAAATATCAACACCCTTATTCTTGTAAGATGATGTAACAATAATGTAAGAACAGATTCCGTATTCCGTATTGAGGGGGTGGGTTTCCCCATGCACTTAGACCGGTTACTGGTCCATTGTGCATCCCCCTTTAATTTCTACTGTCTCCATACCCTACCGGTACTGGTGCTTACTATCAGCCCCTTTCTGCCAGCGAGGTTCCAACCTCTTACTGGCAGTGGTATCTAATAGTTAGTCCCTTTCTGTCAGCGAGGTCGTCCCTCCTCTGGCAGGGGTTCCTGGTCCCTTTCTGCCAGCAAGGTTTCTACCCTCTACTTGGCAGTGGTATGTAATACTTTAGTCCCTTTCTGTCAGAGAGGTCCCCCCTCCTCTGGCAGTGGTACCTGATACTTCCCCCATCTACCGGAGGAATTGGAAACTACTCGGACGGGAAACTTGGCCTAATTTTGCTCAGAGGTCTCCTGGAGACATGAGGTTCTTTTACGTGCCGTAAATCTATGACACGGGACCCATGGCTTAAAGTCCCTCCCGGAGGACTTGTTCCCTGAATTTTTCCGCCCTTAAAAATTCGATGACCTCCGCCGGGTATTTGAACCCGCGTACTACAAGTCATGAGGTGGGAACGTTACCTCTAGACTACAGAGGCCGCTACATAACAGAAGTAGAGGTATAAAGAAATATCATTGAGTAAATCAGCGGCCATTAATATTGAATAACATTGCTTCATTTCCTTTCTTAATTCTTCACTCCTCTCCTTTATATGTATGTTTGTTTTAATTAGGACTGCTTTAAAAATGATCTGTGCCCATTCTAATAGGTAAACAGACCATTCGTGTCTACTGTTTGTTTACTACTATTTATACAGCAGGATCCTGATAGTGAACCGTGCAACGGTTCTTCTCCTTTAAGTTCCTTGGAGTGGCCTCTCTGGACACCAGGATGCGAGCCGGAACTTTCTTCCCTGCTGACGTCAGAATCATGTGTTCCCCCCCTCCTTCTTAGCTTGATCGCGAGCCTTCGTGGTAAGTCAAGATAAGCGAAAGTTCTCTTCTTCCCTTACATGTTTGTCTGGTAACATCACTACTACTAAATTTGGTTTTGGAACAATTAAGTTGATGATACTGAAATTTTATTTTGGCATGTAGCGCGGATCGAAGGGGGAGAAGTAGCCCTCACGAGCTAGTCGGGACTGGCTGGTTCGTGAGGTAAATGTTTGAGTTTTTTTGGGCCAAACTGCAAGTAAGTGACTTACTGGATTTGTGCACACCATAAGGCATATTGACTTTGGTTGTATACGCTGTGTGGCATGGTTTAGTTGATTTGCTGCACCGCGAGGCGCGGTGGAATTTTGGTTTTGGTTAGAGGTTGTAATAACCAGTAATTGCCCTTCAGGCGTGGTTCACCTGTTTACTCAGGTTATCAATGTACTTCCTTGTGTTAGGAAAAGTTGATTGAATACATGTGTACTAGATGTTTTTGGATACGCCATGAGGTGTGGCACAGTTGATTTGGTGTGCCGTGAGGCGCAGTGTAATGCTGCTTCAGTCAGCCATTGTATGTAATAACCAGCAACTGCCCCTCAGGCATGTTTTATTTGTATACTCAGGTTATCAATATATTTCCATGTTTTAGGGAAGTGTTTGAGTATATGTACACTGTGTCGCCATATGTTCCATACTAGCTCCAGCCTAGTTGATCCGCCCAACTTGGCCTGTCATACTGACCTGGGTTTTCCTCTCTCGAGATCCCTTACCCAATCTTAGGGAGGCATACTGCACCACGCCAACAAGCAAGTCGTTTCTTACGAGCCTGTCCCTTACCCGTATAGACGGGGGACATGGCTCAATAGCTCCATGTAAATACTGTATAATTTTTCCTAAATTAGTGTTTTACTAAATTAGCACTCTCGCTTCTCACTGTCCTTGTGTAACTTCGTTGATGTATTAAAATTCACGCTTCAAAAACATTCATTTCTTCCTATTATTCAAATACTACGTGTTTCGGTCCAACTGGCCGTAATCAGGGGTACAAGTTGTAGAGGAAACTGCTGCCCCACTTCACATTTTAAAGGTATAAAATACAAAATATTTTAAACTTATTTTTAAAATAATCACATCCTGATTATTTGTTGTATGCACGTGTTGTGGGTCCGTTGTATCTGTACTATATAATATTGGGTTATACTCACTCATGGAGCTGAGCCCTTCTTGAGAAGCTACCAATTGTGTAGCTACTGAAGAACTTCCCAGCATTTTATGGAATCAGAAGGTTCATTACTGTGTTCACAGGAGCACTCCACTAGTCCCTATCCTGAGCCAGATCAATCCAATCCAAACAATCCCATCCTATCTCTCTCAGATCCATTTTAATATTGTCCACCCACCTATCCCTTGGTCTTCCCAGTGGTCTGCTTCCTTCCGGCTTTCCAACCAATATCCTATATGCATTTCTCCTCTCCCCCATTCATGCTACATGCCCTGCCCACCTCATCCTTCTTGACTTGATCATTCTAATTATACTTGGAGAAGCGTACAAGTTACAAAGCTCCTCATTATGCAGTTTTCTCCAACCTCCTGTCACTTCATCTCTCTTCAATCCAGATACCTGTATTCTCCTCAACACCCTGTTCTCAAACACCCTCAGTCTATGTTTCTCCCTTAATGTCAGAGACCAAGTTTCACACTCATACAGAACCACAGTCAAAATTATAGTATTGTATGTTCTAATTTTTATGTTTTTGGACAGCAGACAAGAAGACAAGAGGCTCTGGATTGAATGGTAGTAAGCATTACCCAAGTTCATCTCCTCTTAATTTCCTCCTGAATCAGGTTTTGAATTGTTATAGTCATTCCCAAATATCTGAATTGCGCCACATTTTGAAAATATACGTTATGTATCTTTATGTACTTATATTGCCCTGCATTTTGGTGATGAGATAACATATTGTCACGTGTTGGGTATGTCACGTGACAAATAACTTCACGTGGGTCTTGGATTTAGCGAATCTTTATTGGACACTCACTCTTACACACCTTACAATTATTATCACTTGTAGTGTCACCTGACTTCTGGCCCAATACTCCAATGCGACATTTCAACTATCCTTGACCGTGGTTGGATCTCAGCTGTCTCTGGCAGCGGCTATCCCAAGATTGTCTCGTTTTCATCTGTGTTGTCTCTGGCTCTGCTTATGTAGGCATTATGCCGACTGGATACCAGACACCATTCCTCGCGGTTCTGTTATCACTGTTCAGACAATCCGTTGTTACAGGAACACTCTTTATAGAATACACCGGTAACGTGTTTCATCTCATCCATTGTTACTCAACGACAATTCGTTGCTACGATGTGTCTCTGTTTCTTCTGGGTGCTAAGTGTTTGGATGGTTAACTAGACGTATAACTGCAACAGTCTTACTGATTTAAACAGTCCGTAGGTCACTATAACTGCAGCAGTAAAGTAGGGGCATAGGTCCCGTGGAACTCAGAAGTAAGAATCACTGTGCTGGCGAGGACCAGTAAAATTTAACAGTCAGTAGTTGCTAGGTAGTGCCTACTAACAAAGCAACTCAAGACTGACTGCTAACCATTGGCTCCAACCTACAAATGACTAACTATTGCTGTTGGCCCTCACTATATTGCCTCAGCATGGACTGCTTAGAAAATACTACTTCCAACAGTTCCTCTGATGGTGTTTGTTGCTTTGTTGCTGCAGAAACATGTTTACTGCACCATTACCTAGAAATAGCTGCCTCTTTTTGCTTCACCATTCTGGCTTTCAGCTCATGTCACAGTATTTTGTTGTTTCTAGAGTTGTGTAATGTGTTTTACCTCATTTTGTTGTTTTTCAGTAGCAGTGGATAGTAGTTTTCTGTTTGAATTATTTATGACTCCCATTTAAGATTTTCCTTGATTTCAGATACAGAAATCTTGTCCCTGAGGGAAACGGATTTTGCTGTATACATATCTGACGTCTAATATCCTGATGTCTGCAGGTGTATGAGCGTTTAAATAAACGGAAATTTCATTTTCATGTAAAAAAAGTTTTGTTCAACAAATTAGTTTGAAGTACTGTATCTCCTTTGTAAGATGAGGAGCTGGTGTTTGTTGCTTTACCAGTTACATTGTAGTAGTTATCATTCCTGATTTGTATTTGAGATGTCCTTATTTTGAAACTTGGAAAGGAAATCATTTATCTGAGTGAGGTTTCTACATAGTTTTCTTCAGTCCTTCCTTGCAAATTGGGGATTATAACTTAAATAGATTGTTGCTACTTCTTTTTACATTCTTCACAATTTATCTGTCATGTAATTTCCTATATAATGCTATTTAACTGACTAATTCAACAAAGAATTCTCATGCACACCATCAAATAGTTGTATTTGATTTGTTGCTGCAGGTTAAGAGGAATTGGAAATTTGGAACACATGGAAATGAGGGCGCGGCTCTTATTGAACATTGGCCTGGTGCTGGAGTGCCAGCATGACATACAGAAAGCCATTGACAACATCCAAAATGTATGTCTAGTAACTACCTTAATAGAAACTGAAGAGTCAGCACTGCTAATATTAAAACTTGCTGAGGAATATTAGTATAAGCTAATTCAAATATTTTAACGGAAACATATCAAGAAATAAATGGTTTGTGTGTATCTATACAGAGTGTCCCAGAAATATGTACAGAAAATTGGTGGATGAGTACTGTAGCTCAAAACAATTAAATAGATTGTATAAACTTTGGTCCAGAAATGCTTTGGTAACAAACTAGAGCCATTCAAAGGTGTTCTGGCAGCAGTAGGATTAGAAATTTGATTACAGAAGTAACATATGCTAGGGACACTTTTGAAGGAGATTAGAATTTGGAGCGGATTGTGAGCATGTGATGTTAGGCATTCATTTCCAGTTAACAGCACATCCAGTGAAGTGTTGTTCCGTTAGTGTCTTAGTTGCTTTGCTGTGCTTGAAAGGGACAGCTACACATACAAAAAACAAAAAAAGAAGCTCAATGGTCTTAGTCCACAAGCAAACTATACCGAGCAACCGCTGTTTGTCAGCGAAGTTAGTGCCAATTTTAGTGGATAGAGGGTGTCACTTGGTCAGCGCAATGGATCCCCATGGCCATTAATCTCAGTTTTCTAGACCGGAGCCACTATTTCTTTGAAATAGCTCCTCAATTATCCCCACTAGGCTGAATGGACCCAATTCCAAACTCACTACTTCTCAGAAAATCTGGTAGTGCCATGAATCAAGCCTGGTCCTCTGGATCTGTAGCCAGAAACTCTGACCACCAGACCACAGAGGTGGTCACACATTCTACACTTAATTCATAGCAAAGCTGTAAGGTTATACATGAAGAGGTTTCATGAAATTGAGCAACACATCAGTGAGACTGGTATAGGTCACCCTTCTGCAGTAGACCAGGGAAGATGGAGGAGTGCATAGGGGAAAATCCACATACCAATATTTGTTGAATACAAGCTGCCCAACATGTGTGCATGACAGTGTGGTGGGCTCTTATTTCTCAGATGCTGTATATATACCGTTTGCAACAATTACAAGCTCCATGGCCTAGTGATCTCTGCCTGTGCCAAGAATTGTGTCAGTGGTTTCTTCAACAGTGTTGTGAAGGTTCTTTGTTTAGCAGCTGTATGCTTGTCACATATGAAACAGGTTTCACATATGTAAGATTTGAGGCTTTCACGGCGGTGACTATGAAGAAAGCAGTCTTCTGGGATTTGGCACCGTGTATATGTGGTGTTAACTGACATTTCGGAGGAACGTATCGCCTCCATCTTCAAGGTAGAAGAAAAAATATAAGAAATCTGCAAGCGAAGAGACCGTGAGAACCGGTAAAAGCAGTCTGCTTTCACCGGAACGTATCGCCTCCATCTTCAGGGTAGAAGAAAAAATATAAGAAATAAGACCGTGAGAACCGGTAAAAGCAGACTGCTTTTACCAGTTCTCACTGTCTCTTCGCTTGCAGATTTCTTATATTTTTTCTTCTACCCTGAAGATGGAGGCGATACGTTCCTCCGAAACGTCAGTTAACACCACATATACACGGTGCCAAATCCCAGAAGACGGCTTTCTTCAGGTTTCACATAATTCGGAGTGATGTATATCCACACAATACAGTTCAGTCCAGCTGTCAGCAGCAGTTCTCAATATTTGGACTTGGTGTTGTTAGGGACTGTTTGCCTCAGAGACTGAATGATGCTGCCTCCTGACATTTTTTGGAGCAGGATATTTGATGAGACACCAGAATTTTCCTTGAGACTGCCTACACTGGCAGATGGACAGGATGGTGGAGACGAGCATTCTGGCCAAGTTCTTCACCAGACCTTAATCCCCTTGGCTTTTGCCTTTGGGGACATCTAAAAGAATTGGTGGTTACTTCAGCAGAGCAACTGCTACAGTCTTTTCAAAATGGCTGTGTCTCGGTCCATAACACTGGGCATTTTTCAGCTAATCCATGAAACCATGCGTCAAGCTGAAGGTTGTGTGGTAATGGAAGGCCAATATTTTGAGCATCTACTGTAACCCAAACTCCTTTGTTATTGATATCATTTATCTGACAAATGTTTAGCCCAAGTTGTACTGTCCCATGACATTAAAGCTACTTTGCAGCTGAAGTTCTGCTATATTACTGTTGTAGAGAACATCATGATGACTATTTTATTGCTGAAGGGTAAAGATGATGTTGATAAAAGATAAGTAGTTGTTCACATCGTTCCCTCAAAGCTCCAGTTTCCTTTAAAAGTGTCCCTAGCTTCTGTTGCTTTTGTAACCACTGTTCTACTAGTGTCGCTGGACACTAGTTTGTTACTGAAGCATTTCTGGGCCTATGTATGTGTAAACAATTTTCATTGTTTTGGGCCGTAGTACTTACTCTCCAATTTTCTGTACTTATTTCTAGGATATTCTGTATAATACTTGTAAATGCACATTCTATGAGGAGCTAACTCCATGCCACTATGTCTTTCTTGAAAAGTTAATAGTTGCTTTATTAGTTGGGAAATTTTCCACCTCTGTTTAACCCAAAGGCTCATTACCATGAAGACTACTGTCCTCTGGGATATGACACCATTTAATCTGGTAGGTATTTACCGATGCTTTGGCAGAGCCTGGTGCCTTCAAAATAGTGTATATCAGGTTACATGGTGTCACATCTCAGAAGACAGTCTTTGTAGTCACCACTGTGAGAGTCTCAAATCTCACTTTGACCTTTTTATAAAAACCCACCTGTTCTGTACAATCCAAATTTGTTTTAATGTTATGCTCCCGTGTACATGTACATCTCTTCAAAAGCCTCTTCTCTTTAGGTTTTCAGATCAGAATCTTGTCAGATGTTACAGAAGTGTCTGAATTCATAGTCAAATATTGTGCAGCTTGCAGTCACATGTCTTATATTAGTTAGTTATTTGAGAGGGTGGGTTTCCCCATGCACTTAGACCTGTAGTGGTCCATTGTGCTTCCCTCTGATTTCTACCAGCCTCTATATCCTACCGGTATTGGTGCTTGCCATCAGTCCCACCCAGCCAGCGAGACCGGCTCTACTGGCTTAGAAGTATCTATAATGCTTCCCCCATCTACCGGAGGTATTAGTGACTACTGTTGGGCGGCAAACGTCCGCAATTTTGCTCAGTGACCTCCTTTGGAGGTATGAGGTTCTTTTACATGCTGTAAAGCTACGACACGGGACCCACGGCTTAAAGTCCCTCCCGGAAGACTTGTTCCCTGAATTTTTCCACCCTTAAAAATTCGACGACCTCTACCGAGTATTTGAACCCGCGTATTACGAGTCATGAGGTGGGAACGTTACCTCTAGACTATGGAGGCCGCTCATGTCTTATATTACTTGGCCGTGAATTGAAATTATTAAATACGAGGTGTATTCAAAAAATGACGGGAATTTCCGTATTTTGGAAAAAATATTTATTCATTCGTCTACATTAATGTTGTCGCCTTCAAAATAGTCCCCATTCGATATTATGCACTTACGCCAGCGCTTCTTCCAATCATCGAAACACTTCTCAAACTCGATTTTTGGGATAGCCTTTAGCTCTTTCAGCGATGCGCTTTTAATGTCATCTATGCTTGTAAAACGACGGCCCTTTAAGGTTCTCTTTATTTTTGGAAATAGGAAAAAGTCACACGGAGCCATGTCTGGCGAATATGGAGGCTGGGGCATCGTTACAGTATTGTTTTTGGCCAAGAATTCACGAACAAGCAACGAAGTGTGAGCAGGTGC